AATCAGTATCTTCACTACCTTAAGACACACTTTCTTTTCAAAAGATTTGTATCAATAGTTTTTGTTTTTCATTCTTTTTCTATATAGAAATCCCTACATAAGAATTCATCGAAATTTTTATGCTCTTACGTGGCAGTATTTGAACTCTCTTCCTCTTTTTATACGCGCATGTCTAGACATGCGCGTATGAAGTATGAGAATGTGTGTGAAGTATGAGAATGCGACTAGAGAAGTATTAGTTTCTCAGTTTTTAAATATTAAAATATTTGAACTTCTGAGATGACCCAGAATGAGGAGCCGTGCTCAACTGATACAGTTGAACTCTTGAAATATATTTCCTTCTAGATTTGAACATATTCTTTCTTAGATACATAATGGCACCAATTACTCGTTCGCACCAATGCTTCGTAAAAAAGCCAAGATGTATCTCTATTCCCATGTGATCATTTTGTCACCCGAACGGTGGTTCCAATGCGTTCGAAGAAAAATTTATAAGATTAGGACATGTGACGTTTTAAAATTTTTATTTAACAGGCGTTTTAGCTCGTTAAAATGCAGGGGCGTTGGAACGCATTAAAAATATTTGAATATAGAACTTGTTCGAACGCATATATTCTCTCAATTTCTGGTATGTTCATGCGTTCGAGATAGTTTAAAATAAATTTATTGACCTACCCAGGTGAATTTTCTGCAGCTTAAATCTGCAAAAGTCTTTGCAGAAATTTTGCAGATTTGAAACAGATGTGTCGACGTTTGGTTCAAAGATCTGATGCAGATCTGCACAAAAATCTTGACAGCTTCATTGCAGAAAAACCGCAGAATGTTCGCAGGTCTTTTTCTACTGTGGGACATACATTTATTTCATTTCAAATATTTTTAACACAAATATATATTCTACAGCAAACGAAAAAATCTGCAATTTCTCTGCAAAGAACCTGTAGAGAAGCTGTAAAGATTCTTTTGCAGATCTGCATCAGTTGGCCAAACCTCAGCACATCTGCACAATAGAAAAAATGCAGATTCTCCAAAGATTTCTCACCGCCGTGGTTCTGTCATTGTTGATTGGTCCTAATATTGGCGTATATTATGTCCAATATGGCCGCTACCATAGCATTGAGAAAAGAAAAGATGAGTTTAAATAGAAGAACAACAATCTTTAAAGCGAAAGAGTCAAAATGAATACTATTACACTTTAAGGACTCCTTACTCATTCTCAGTTCACTTGGGCTCACCAAAATAGTGCAAGGGTGTCCTTGAATTGCCAAGTACCGAACTCCGAGTTAGCAACTGAAGCAAATCGCAGAAACACACTTGAGCCATCAGTAGGACCTAGCTACTTAGGGAAAGTTGCAAGGCAAATTCAACTTTTGCATTAATATACGTAAATCTCTTTTAGGCCAATTGTTTAACAGTGTAATACCTGTACCAAAAAGATGAACATTTGATGAAAATATAAAATTTGTTACTTTTTGATTTTATTCTTTAAACAGAAAAATGTCTGCTCTTATTAAGGTGTCTGTTAAAAAAACGAACGCATTGGAAGTATATATATGCCGATGTATGTATCAACAATACAATCAAAGAAACCGAATTATACAAAATAAAATAAAATAAATTAGAATTTAAATTCTATAATAGAGGAATAATTGGGGAATAGAGGAATGACAGAGGAATAGTCGGGGAATAGAGGAACAGCGACCGACCGGAATACATTTTGAAACGTTCCCTTAATTGTCGAGGAAATTGAACTAATCGATGAAGCTGCTCGAGATTTAAACGAGTTATTCAAATACAAAGGATTGCAAACTAAATACTACTCAATGTACTACATGCAATAGATTGATTATTCTATGTTGATATGATGCAAAAACGTGTCAAGTAAGAAAATATTTTATTTTTGTTTATTTTTGAGTTAACAAGGTCTTACAACTAATTTAAATTCTAATTTAATTCTATCAACAAATTCAGAAGAATCTTTCATATATAAATCAAAATGAGTAATAAAAAAGAGTTTATTAATGGACTTGTTTCGTGTTAAAAAAGGAAAAGTCGTGTACTCTCAAAAAAGCTTTCAGTTACAGATAATTTACGTGGTTTTTTCCTAAGTTTCACCGGGTCTACGCGCCGCTAATTCAAAGTTTTAGAGGATTCGCTTTTCTAATAAAACACGCCTATTCTGACTCACGAAAAGAAATGAAATAAGTAGACTATTCTCTTACGACAGTGTCATATTTCACTCCGCAGAATTAGTTAATCACACCAAAGATGTCGAACTTGATGAGCTTAGTGAAGGTTTCTCGTTCATCAAATAGCCTTGGCTTAAAACACACATCACGCACGTTAGTGACATAAACAGCTCATACCTGTAATACTTTATCGTTCTGTTTTACTCCAGACAATGGCCACAATAAAAAGAAAACTGCCACATAAAGCACGCGACTATTAACATTTACAAAAAGTGAAGAAATTTTGAAAATCAGCCTGCACTTAATAGTACTTCATGTATGAAAACAAAAACCGTGAAGTAGTTGCTTGCATCTAGATTAAACAATACATTGGAGTAGAAATGTGGTTGTATAACATCACAACAAGAAGCTGTATCATGTTCTAAAAGGATTAATTTGTTGGCAGATTAGTACGAACGAATTGATTTTCAAGAACGTCATACGTAGCATAAACTGATAGAGCAGAGAAAGAAAAAAAACTGATGGTCAAGATGGGGCTCGAACCCGCAACCTTTGGCTTATTAGACCAATGCACTACCATTGTGCTACCTGACCTCGCTTTGCTTGATTTGAGCTGACGCTACCCACTGTGATGAGCAAAATCACAACTGAAGTAATGTGCAGTCGTTGTTTCTGTTGACAATAACCGCGGCGTCTACAATTACGATTACATTGTTCGCACACTCTTTTTACACTTGTATGACTACTGGTTTAAGCTTTAATCTTGAATCAGAACGAAATCGAGAATATAAATTCTCATTATATCATTCCAAAACTTTCACTATCAAAACACAAAATCTAATCTTGCACGAAGGTAGGATCGAACATATGAAGATTGATGTTGGTAGCTTACGCGGATGGACAACCCTTCAAATATGGCATATTTGAATGATTGTGACATACTCAAATGTTGAGCTCTTTCTAATAAGATGGGTCTCCCAGTTTGTGCTTAAAGTCATGTATAAAGTGGTCGATTTTCGATGGAACTACCCAATGCTAACGAGTGCGCAGAGCTCGGTATGCTCGTCTTCCGATTCTTTTCAAGCAAAACACGCAAGGTTAAAAATTTTTCAATAAAAATTGTGAACGTGTTCGCAACCAAATAACTTGTAAAAGTTTGAGTTAGACAACAGAGAGTCTCCTAATTTCATATTGGTACATGACCATGATAATACCAGTAGGCGGCTTTCGTGTATATTCACAAGCCCACATACCAATTTAACTGCACTTCGTCCTCGACTGACGCTTGATGGCGATAAGCAAAGCGACGAATATCGCCGAGCTGTGCACCTTGAGCGGCGTAGAATCGACATGCGGAAATGTTTGTGTTTTGAGTTTCAATTTTCATATATTTGCAACAATTTTGTGGTCTTTTTGACCATGCCAGAACATGTTGCCACAATTTGTGACCAATCTTTTGACGTCTGTATGCCGGATGAACGCGCATATCCCATAGCACAGTCATGTCCCCATCTTCACCTGGTAGTTTGCTGGCAATTGCAGCTCCACCAACTGGTTGTTCGTTACTGAAAGCAAGAAACAGACCCCAGTCCTTAAGACTGAACTCCTCTGTCCAAGTTAAAGGCGAACAGCCTAATAAATCATAATCTTTGATGTAAGGTGTTGCTATGGGCTGTTCACATAATTCAATGCCTCGTAAACCATTATCGTCGCCAATTTTCATCTCAAATCTGCTTCGAACTTCAAATGAGATTGGAATTGTAGCATACTCTTGTAGTTGACCTTCGTCCACTTGAACGATGAATATTTCAGTAGCTGTCATTTTGCCAATGCAGAATAGGTCAAGCGGGGGCTTCTTTCTAGAAATCATAAAAAAGAAAACTGACGTTCACCTAAAAACAAGGAGGTCTGTATTTGAGTCAGAAGGAAGCACATGACAGTGCCACATCTGCACAGAAGTATTGTGAGAAATCCAATCGGCTGAAGAACAATCGCTTTTTTCGCGGAAAGTGAGAGTGTGAAGGTTTCTTATATATCACCCAACGATGATATTTTCGATCTCATCAAGCAGATCGGCACGATACCAGTGGGAGAAAGAAACAAAACTTGGGAAACGGTTAATTTTGGCCAAAGGACCCAAAAAACCCGAACGGATTCCATGTCTGAAACAGACAATGGAACGACGTTATCAAAGAAAAGTATAAAATATAAAAAAAGCAGAGATGTCCGCTTTTTGTAAAAGTACTAAAGGTCCCCGCCGGATTTCCATGGGAAATCCGCCCCTTTCAAAATTAAACTATTTTATCATAGATAGATAGAGTATTGTTGGACACATCCGAAATCTGTTCTCGATTCTCAAGAGTCGCTTGTCTTTGGTGAGAAAATCAATTTTTTCCGGCAAGGTTTCTAACACGGAGTAATTCCAATTAAAAATGTAATAACTTAACGACGAAAAACGGTATTTACAAAAGGTTTTCACCAATAAATTCTCCATTAAACTGTGTACAAAACAGCGTGGTTTTATTCAAAATGAGCTCAATGCTTGTCCATGAAAAACACAAAACATGAGCTCAAAATGAGAAAATCGAAAAATTTTGAAAAAGTTAAAATTTCAATAACTCGCATATTTGAAAAAACCCATTCACCAAAATTTCTCAAATGTTTTTCAAAAACATTCTTATGGTATTGTAGTTTCTATGGTAAAAATTTGGTTGAAAAAGGTTTTTTCCTTTCAGAGATATTGCAGCAACAAGTTCGATGACTCCATGATTTTTGCATTGAACTCTTCGAATAAAGTAGACGATCTCGGAGCAGGTAGTCCCGGGTGATTTTTCTTGGACAGATTATCTAAGTTCAGATTTCTAATTATGATTCCAGGCAGTACTCGTGGTGTAGTAAATTTGTGATAAATAACTCAAGATTCTAATCGACGAGCGTGGAGAGAAATGTTTTTCAAAATCGCATCAAGCGCGTATGTTAAGGACGCTTTGCAGTATGATTAAATATTGATTTCTTAAAAGTGAGAGATGACAAAGAGATGAAATTTTGATCATACATAATATACTATGTTCCTCATCTAACTACATAATAATAATAGACATTAATCATTAAACTTCGGGAATATGAAGCTGAAAACGTTAGTGAGAATGACGCCTTTTTCGCATCTGTACTGGCATGTATTACCTGGAAACTTGACATCACTTATTAAATACTTTTCGTAAGAAACGTACTGCCTATTTGCTAATATTCATACAGAAGTCTTATATGCAATATTTACTTTTTTTCTTGATGTTTAATACTCTTTGCAGTTTAGTTCGAACAAGTATATCGCCAATATACATATGTCATTGTTTTTATATGTAGAAAAAGGGAAAATGTATTAAAAACAAGATTTGACCATGTGTTTTATTATTATTCTTCTTTGTAAAATTGATAGATCGTATTAAAACAGCTAGATAATAATTGAAAAAATATTCTTTCTGTTCTCTATTCGTACAAAATGGACTTTATATTTTTTGTCAGGTTAGACATAGAATCTTTATCATGTGATTTATTCGTCCTTTCTTTCTGGAAAGAAAAAAGTTTAAATCAATATTTTTTTCCTCGTGCAGGAATTTTCTACAGTTGTGAAATTGTACTAGAACAGCTGATGATAAAATATGAAACATTTTTTTTTGTATGAAATAGTAAGATGCACGTAAAGCAAACTTTGAGTGAAATTTCTTTTTGTGCTTTATTATACATATTCTGAATCGCCAGGTCGAGCTGACCACGAATATCACCTTCCCAGCTCGAAAAAGTGAAATTTTGATGGAGAAAAATGCGAAGTATTGAGAATAGGTCGAAAAAGCCCTGAAAAATCCTTCTTTTTCAAAAAAAGACGTACAATTTTTTCCGCTTATGTTTTTACTTCTTACAATTAAATTTTTTCGAATTCCTCGTTGAAAACTGATTCTAGTGAAGTGGCTTTCAAGGACTTTTTGCCACAAATAAAATTTTGGCACAGTACGAAACTCGCCTGGCTCGCCGATTGACACCTTCAGCTTGCAAAC